AGCCATTTATGATTTGAATCTAAATGCAACTATGAATAGAATTTTCTTAATGAAATAAAGGTTAAGTAATCCCACTTAATTGTGAACTATCAAGTGTTTTCATCAAAGTCAAAAGAGGAGAATGGCTGCCATTCTCCACTACCTGTCAACATTGTACTGAAGGTTCTTGTTAGTGCAGTGAGAAAAGATCAAAATGTTCTATAGGTGAATTGATAAAATATACATACCCAGATGATGAAATATAGTAGCAGCAAGTAAAATGATAGAGCTCAAAACACATTTTCAAGTGAAAAGAAAAAATTATAAAACATGTTTAGTCCCTTTTATGCTGTTACGTAAATTTGTAGTAACAAAATATTTTTCTTTTTATTTTTTTATAAAGACAGGGTTTCACCATGTTGGTCAGGCTGGTCTTGAACTCCCAACCTCAGGTGATCAGCCCGCCTTGGCCTCCAAAGTGCTCGGATTACAGGCGTGAGCCACCACGCCAGGCAACAAAATATTTTTCTGTGCATTCCATATGTGTGTGGTCACATTTTGAAAGATGAGAATACCCCACAATCCCAAGAGGTTACCTCCAAAGATTAGGGTGATAAAAGGGATCTTTGACAAGTTTATTCACGATCTGTCAAAAAGAAATGGATGACGTGTAGTTTAAAAATTAGCTATACAGTTCTGTCATACACTGGGCATAAAAAAAAAAGAAAAAATTACCTATAAAGATTGTGAGAGTTGCATTTAATAATTGTGATGTTAGCCACTGGTAGCTGAAGAAAAATGCTGTTTTTGACTGTTGGTTAAATGCAGACCTGAACATAGAGGTAGAAGGTTCTCTGCAGAGAGAAGACTGGTAGGTCAAGGAAAGTGACCCCAGGAAGGCTTTATGTGACAGCCACAGCACCCCCAGGCCAACATCCACATGTGCCTTTTGCCCTGCTGAGCTACTCAACCCGACTGTCCCATCTTTTGCAGGCGCAGATCAGGCCTCTGTAACTGCAAGGAATCACATTCAGTTGGTGAAACTGCAGGTGCAGGAGGTTCGTCAGCTCTCCCAGAAAGCAGAAACCAAGTTGGCAGAAGCACAGATAAAAGAGCTCCGTCAGAAAATACAGGAGGAAGGGGACGAGCAGGCGGAGACAGAGCAGGAGGCCTACCTGCGTGAGGATTGAGGCCTGAGCCTACTGCCCTGTCTCCCCACTCTGGAGAAAGCAGGGGCAGATGCCACCCTGCCCAGAGTTGGCATGACTGTCTCTGCACTGAGAAGAGGCAGCAGGTCCAGCTCTGGCCAGTCAGGCAAAACACCTTTGTGAGCTGTCAGTGCTTCTCCTGTGGTCTCAGGCTTGCACTGGACCTGGTTCTTAGTCCTTGGGCACCACACTCTGTTTAACATTTCATCCCACTCTTCAGCTGCTCTTACCCACCCATCTTTTTACCTCACACGCAAAGCATTTTGCCAACCTGGGTTAGCGAGAAGAGTCCTTTTTGTCATGCCCTTAAGTTCAGTAGCTGTTTAACGTGTTTTTATTGTGAAAATGATTTCGTGTTTGTTCCTCTGTTGGGATGCGAGTTGTGGCTGGGGACGGGAAGCCTGTCTGGTTTGTACGATTGAAGTGTTTCTAATGTGTTTTCTGACTTGCCCCCACTGCCCTGTGAGGATAGCTCAGGCCAAGCAGTGAAAAGTCTATTACTACTAAGGGAAGGGATGCAGAGTGTTTACCTGGTGCTCTCAACAGGACTCTTCCTAACACATGCTGCTTGTTCATTTCTTTTCTTTGCATTTCTGCATTGTATCCAAAGGAGAAGAGTAACATTTTTTCTGCATCTCAATGAGAAAATGTGTCTCCTGGGGCCCTATGCGTCTCCTTCCTTCAGGCTTCAGGAATCCCCTGACAGGTTCCTGGCACCACTTTGGCTCCCATTCAACACAAGTTAGCCAGGTTGCAGTGTTTTTAATTAGAGCTAACACGGTGAGGGGGTTACAAAAACTCAAGTCGGCATTTCCTGTAGACGAGCAGGGATCAATTTCTCATCATGATAGAAAATCAAGAGTCCACTCTCCAGCTGTTGCCCAACCCACCCCTCAGCGCCAGGGTATGGGGGCAGCCACACACTTGAGCCCCTCATCTGTCACCAGTGCCCACATGGTCCACATCTCGAGGGGGCTCAGGCGGTGCACCAGCAGGAGTCCCCTATACAGGCAGGGGTCTAAGGGGTCCAGGGGCCGCCGGATTCCAAATGTCTTGAAGCCAGCATGATGCGTGGGGCTCAGCCCTAGCCTCTTCAGGCACATACCTACAAAGACATCATCGATTGGGAAGAGTTCAGCCTCTTCCATGGCGGCCTGGAGGCGCTGCACAGTAGCTCTGGACATGACATATCCTCCCCCACCGGCATAGGGTGGGTAGTGGCTGGCTCTGTACATTGAGGGTGGGATGAAGTATTTGACCTTAGTGTTCCTGTTGGGCAGGGCTTGGCGGATGACATCTCCCACCAGGAGGTCCTGGGCCGGGTCCCAGCCATCCAGGAACTCTAGCACATTGGGGACGTGGACAAAGACATCATCATCTCCCTTTAGCATGAAGCGGGCCTGGGGGCAGGCAGCCGCCACCCAGCGCTGCAGGTGCAGCTCCTTGAGTGTCAGGTTGAAGAAGTCCTCAGTGAAGTCCCACTGGAGGATGTCGTCAAACTCTCTACTCTCATAGGCCAGCAGCTGTGCTGGGGGAGGGGGTCCTGCCACTCCTAGGAGGAATATCAGCTTCAGCTGCTGGCCCCTAGCCCTGCCCCATGTGCTGCGGATAGCCGCCCGCCGCTCCACATGTCCAGGTTGTGACTTGATGGCCAGGAGCAAGAAGGTGTCCTTGGAACAGCCTGAAGGCTCCAGCAAGATAGAGAAATTTCGGCAGTGGCGATAGGTCAAGAAGAGGCGGTGACGGCTAGGCAAGGACAAAGAGGCACTAGCCACTGTGTGGTTGGGTGGACATCGGCTATGGCAGGGCGCTGAAGGAGCCCAGAAAGGCTGGCGAGCTGTGGGGTCTCCCATGGGCTTGGCCTCCTTCCTCAGGAAGAGCAGGCAGCCCAGCAGCAGCACAACCAGGCTGTAGGAAACCAGCCAGCCCAGCTTGCGGAGCATTGCCAATCCCTGCAAGGAGAGAGCCGCCTGAGCAGGTCCCTGTCCCTGTCCCCAGGAGCTGGGCAGGAGTTAACTGCACCCCAGCAGCTAAGTCCCTGCTGGCCTCTAGGCTTCCTTTTATTCTCAGCGTGTCCTCAGACTTTCCAGAGTCCTCCCTCCCCTGAGGATGGGCCAAGCACAGCCAGCCCTTGCCCTCTGCCATCATCTGAGGACACCTGGGTCTGTTTTTCCCAAAATGACTTGTAGCCACTTTACAGCTGACACCATAAATGTTCCCCGCCTTTCTCCCAGGACGTGATGAGTTTTAGTGAAAATGGGCCGGGCACAGTGGCTCACGCCTGTAATTCCAGCACTTTGGGAGGCCGAGGCGGGTGGATCACAAGGTCAAGAGATCGAGACCATCCTGGCCAACAGGGTGAAACCCGGTCTCTACTAAAAATACAAAAAAAATTACCCAGACGTGGTGGCACATGCCTGCCCAGCTACTTGGGAGGCTGAGACAGGAGAATCACTTGAACCCGGTAGGTGGAGGTTGCCGTGAGCCAAGAATGCGCCATTGCACTCCAGCCTGGGTAACAAGAGCGAAACTCCGTCTCAAAAAAAGAAAATGGAACAGACTCAGTATAGCTTTGGATCAAATTCACTAAGCATGAAACTGACATTCAAGGCTCTTCAAGTGTGAAGTCAAACTCTCCCAAAAAAGCCTGGTGCCTGTGGGGTTCTGTGTTGGGCCTCGCCAAGATGACTGGGGGTGCACTGCCTCCCTGGGAGAAGAACCAGCACCACAGGGTGGCTGTGGCCACCAAAGCACACACCCCTTCACACCTGCCTCAGAGATCAGGGCTTCCAGGGGGAGTCTGAGACAAAACACACAGCAAGAGGGAGGCAGGAAAGCTGGGGACTTGTATCAGGGTTGGCTTCCGAGACATCCCAACCCACCTTCCCACCCCATTCTAAGTGCTGATTTCTCCCAGGGACCTAAAGAGGAGGAGATGGAATCCACCAGAATGGCCTGCCCGAGGTCCACAGTAGCAAAGACAGGCTTCAGTTTCTCATCATTTTTGTCCCTCCAGTGCCTCTGCCCCAGTCCCCTCCACCGCCAAGTCTTTGGCCCTTCACCTCTGACTAGTCTGCCGCAATGGCCACTGCGGTAGCTGCTACTACCAGAAAAGCAACTTGCTAGGTGCTAGGGATTCAGTGGCAAGCAAGATAGGGCCGCTGCCCTGACAGGAGAGCACAAAACACATAGAAACCAGGTACGCCTAGAAGTTACAGCCTAACGAAGTGAAATGGCTGGAGGACGGATCCCATAGCTAAGGGTAGCTAACAAAGCCCTCCTTGATGAGGGGACATTTGAGCAAGAACTGAGCGAGGAAGGGTGCCCTGCGTGAAGACCAGGCGGCTCCAGAGCAGGAGTGAGGGGAAATAGAAGGGCGGGGGACGGCCAAGCGGGTTTACAGTAGGAGACGCCAGCCAGGCTAGTGAAAGAGCTAGGGTTTTTGTTGTTTTGTTTGAGACAGGGTCTCTGTCACCCAGATTCTAGTGCAGTGGCACAATCAGCCCACTGCAGCCTGGGAATCCTGGCTTCAAGCGATCCTCTGGCCTCGGCCTCCCCAGTAGCTGGGACTGCAGGCGTGCAGGACCCGGCTGTTTTGCAGAGATGTGGTCTCCCTTTGCTGCCTGGGCTGGTCTGGAACTCCTGGCCTCAAGCGATCCTCCCACCTTGGCCTCCCAAAGTGTTGGGTCTACAGGCGAAAGCCACCTACCGGGATTTTCTGAGCGCCCTGGAGATCTATGCGGGGGAGGGGAGGGGGGACAGGAAGGTCTGGCAGAGGCCGTGAAAGGATCTACGTTTGGTAAAAGCTCACTCCTACCGCTTATTCCCTGGTGGGCTGCGGAAAGCTGGGGAGGGAGGAGGAAGGGCAGCTGGAGGCTGTCTCCGTGCTCAGAGTGCCGGGCGGTGGCGGGGTCGGAGCGAGATGGGTCTCAGGTGTGCGAGCACCGCGGGCTGTGGGCTAGGGGCCCGGGTGGGCGGCGGTGCCATTCAACGAGAAGGGCGCACAGTAGGTGGCTTGGTTCCGTCCCGGGAGGTTTCAGCCCAGGCTGCGCCGCGGCCCGGTGGCGCCGTTCCTCCGCGGGCGTCCCCACGCGCTGACCGCACGGCCTCGCCCCGCCGCCCTCCGAGCAGGGTCCCCGTCGCGGTGACCCCAGAGCCCTGCTCCCCACCCGCCGCGGGGCGCACGACCCCTCCTGGTGGTTGCGGGTCCTGAGGCTCGGCCTGGGCGAGAGCCGCCTCGGGTCCCCACAGGACGCGGTGACCCAAGTGCCCCGGCGCGGGCAGGGGCCGAGCTCTGGTTCATTCTTTCAACGCGACGGTCTCTGGAGGGCTGGCGGAGACAGGGACCCACCCCGCAGGGGACCCCGGGCCGGGGCTGGAGGCAGCGCGGCGCGTTGGGGACGGGCAGCCCAGGCTGGCAGAGTCCACGACGCCCGGCTCCGGCCTCTATCCCCAGCCCGGAGAACCGAAGCCGAGCAGCCCGTGGGCCCCGAGCCCGGCCTGCTAAGGCCAGACCCGCGCCGCACCCGGGCGGGGCCGGCGTCCTCGCTGGGACCCGGGAGGGGACCGGAGAACGGGCTGCGGGGTGCAAAGGTACGGCCGCCCTAGCGACGCCCCTCCCCACATGGTGACCCAGCCTCCCTCACAGTAGCGGGGTCCCGGTTCCCGACCTACCTGAGCGTGACACCGGGGCAGAGGCGAGGAGCTGGCGCAGCGGAGCCAGGGCGGACAGTGCCCAGGTGTGCGGAGCTCGAGTGGGGGCTCTTTGGGGCGGGGCTTATGGGGAGGCGGGGCTTTTGGCGAGGGCGGGCTCCGGGCCGCCAGTCTCTGCCACGCCCGCGCCTGGACGCACGTGTCCCGTCCCCCACCCAGTCCTGGGGTCCGCACGAACCCAGTGGGGCAGAGGCTCCTCCTCCCTAGAACGCCGGCGCCACACCCGCCCTCCGACGCGAGCTGAGAGACCGACGCCGAGGCGGGAGCGCTGGGAACAGCCTTTACTGCCCGCGCCCTACACGGCGAACGTGCGCAGCGCCTCCTCCGCCGAGCGGCACTGGTTCAGCTGGATCTGCACCTCCACCGTCAGGGGCTCGGGCTGGTAATCGCCTTCGTAGATGGGAATCACGGCTTTTGGCTTTTCTGAGAAAATAAAAACGCGAGCATGAGTCCCGGGAGACAAATGGGCTGGCGTTCTCGGCCGCCCTGACCCATCCCAAATGCAAGCCCTGGACTCCGTCCTGGCGGGAGTTTTCGGTCTTCAGGTCTTAACTAATGAGAAATAAAATCAAATTGCATTTAATTAGATCATTTAATAAGTCGCAGCTGTGAATTGCAAGACGAACTAGCTGCTTTTTATTTTGAGAGTGTCTTGCTCCGTCGCCCAGGCTGGAGTGCAGTGGCGTGATCTAGGCTCCCTGCAACCTCCACCTCCTGTGTTTAAGCGATTCTCCTGCCTCAGCCTCCCGAGTAGTTGGGATCGATTCTCCTGCCTCAGCCTCCCTAGTAGCTGGGTTTACAGGCGCCCGTCACTACGACCGGCTAATTTTTAGTAGACACAGGGGTTTCACCATGTTGGCCAGGCTGGTCTCGAACTCCTGACCTCAAGTGATCCGCCCGCCTTGGCCTCCCAAAGTGCTGGTATTACAGGCATGGGCCACCGTGCCTGGCTGCAGATATTTTCTCAAAAATGAAGTAATTCGGCTGGGCGCGGTGGATCACACCTGTAATCCCAGCACTTTGGGAGGCGGAGGCAGGTGGATCACGAGGTCAGGAGATCGTGATTATTCTGGCCAATATGTTGAAACCCCGTCTCTACTAAAAATACAAAAATTAGCCGGGTTTGGTGGTGTGCACCTGTAGTCCCAGCTGCAATGGGGGCTGAGGCAGGAGAATCGCTTGAACCCGGGAGGTGGAGGTTGCAGTGAGCCAAGATCACGCTGCTGCAGTCCAGCCTGGGCAACAGTTAGAAAAAGAAAAAAGAAAAAAAAAGTAATTCTGTAATTCTGGCACTTCAGGCAAAACAACTGAAAGTATTTCAATAGATTTATAACATTTGCCCTAAAAACGAGATAACATTGTATCTGCCACCATGAATTTTATCAATTTTGCAATACTCAAAGATCTTTCTAATGACGTGGGCGGTGATAGTAAAGAACGTGATTTTTGGAAAATGGATAGTGACGGGGGTCAACAGTTGGAACATCTGCTTAAGTTGGTTAACCTGTATTTTATAAGTAACTCATGCATGTTACAAATTGTGCATGGTAAAATATCCATTCAAAATGTAAACTAGGCCAATGAATTTTAATCTGATTATGAAAAATTCAATATACATTCAGTTTTCACATTGCAACAATCTTTAAGAAACTACCACTTGTCAAATTTGGTGTATTTTTAAAGAAAAATATCCCCAATTATTTGAGGGTCTATTAAAATACTCCCCTCTTTTCCAATTATGGGTCTGAGGTTGGGTTTTCTTTATGCACTTCAATTACAGCAACATATTGCAAGCAGTTGACTGCAGAAGTAGCTATAAGAATCCAGGTGTCTTCAATTCAGCTAGACATTAAAGAGATATACAAAAAAAAAAAAAAAACCTTTTTAAGTCCATCCTAACCCACAGGTATCACAAATCACGTGTTCATATAGGCATGGGTTTTGAAGTCCAGTAGCATATGCCCTCCAACATTTACTTCTTCAGTGATTTTATTTTATTGTTTATTTTTTTGAAACAGTCTCACTCTGTTGCTCAGGCTGGAGTGCAATGGCTCGATCTTGGCCCACTGCAAACTCTGCCTCCTGGGTGCAAGCAATTCTCCTGCCTCAGTCTCCCAAGTAGCTGGAATTACAGGCACCTGCCACCGCGCCTGGCTAATTTTTGTATTTTTAGTAGAGACAGGGTTTGACCATGTTGGCCAGGCTGGTCTTGAACTCCTGACCTCAGGGGATCTGCCCGCCTCGGCCTCCCAAAGTGCTGAGATTACAGGGGTGAACCACTGCCCCGTGCCTGTTTCCACTTTTCAGCTTCAGCATGATGGCTGCTTGGCTATGACTGGGCCTCAGGCCTTGCAGCCGCCTCCCACAGCTCTCCCAGTCTCCTTTCTCTCCCTCCCAGCCGGACATTCTTTCTGAACCTCAAACCCGAGATGCACCCATTTCAGATGCTTCTGCAGCTCCCCACAGGACAAGTCCAGGCTCCTCTTACAGCAAATGAGGCCCAATAGCCTAGAGCTGGAGGCAGACACCTCGGAAGCAGAGGGACCCCACGCCACCCCAGCTGTGAGCCCTCACCCTGCTGTGGCTCTACCACAGGTGCCTTCCCCACCTGCGTCACAACCCACAGGCCTGGTGGTCTGAGAGCTGCAGGGAAGGAACATTAACATTGGATCCTAAGGCGGGACGTGGCCTCTCCCCAGGCCAGAAGCGCCCATTCCCCGCCCTTCTGTTCCTTTGGCCTCTACCAGAGCTGGCCCTCAGCAGGGCCTCCTGCCACTCCCTGCCTTTTGACACCACCACTGGCACTCACCTTTTTTGGCAGTTTTCTTAATCTTCTTTGAATCCTGAGAGAAAGAACCACAAAACGAGAGAGGAGGTGCTGGAGAAGGGGTTTCTCTGGGGCCCCACCTCCTCCATTCCCTCTAACAGGTCCAGGAAGGCGGGGGTCTCTCAGAGAGGGTGCCCACCCTAAGGGGAAGGCTGACTGGGCTGAAACCCACGGAGGGGCCCTGTGTGCAGGTGGCAGCACCAGCACCCGGCTGTGTGACCCAGGGAAAAGCCCTCCCCACCCTCTCCTCCCCATCCAGTGACCTGGGCCCACAGCCCTTGCTTGCCCTCAGGGTTCCCATGAGGAGGGCAAAGGCAGAGGTGGAGGATGTGGTACCCTGGCAAATGCCAGCCTGTCGGATGCCAAGGTGTGGACCACGCCAAAGTTGCACACGGTGGACACCAGGGGCTCCCCCACCAGCAGGGGCTCCAGAACCACCAGGCCTCGGCCCAGCACCTGCAGGATGGGAGGGTCCTGCCGGAGCTCCTTGGGTGGCTCTTTCTTCTTCTTCGGTACCTGCTGGGGGAGGCCAGGAGGGTGGGACGAGGTGGGACGAAGCAAGACAAGGCTATGGCCAGACCGCCCTCCCCGGCACCAGGGCCTGGTACCTTGGCCGGCTCTTTCTCTCCTTTCCCCTTCCTGTCTTTCTCCTTCTCTTTCTTGTCTTTCTCTCCTTTTCCTTTCTTGGCAGACAGGGGACTGTCAACAGCAGGCAGCACCGCCGGCCAGGAGAGAATCTAGGGGCAGGGATGTGGCCTCAAGTGAGCAGAGGCCCACGGGGGCTGCCTGGGGTTGTCTCTCTCTCACCATTTCTGGAACGGTGCTGAGACCTCAGCTAACCAGGGAGTGAAGCTCCTATAGGGGACAGCCCAATGGGAGCAGGAACAGGGGCAGAGGTGCAGCCTGTGGGCGGCCAGGCACTGCCTCTGCCTGCCCACCTTCTCCTCCACAATAGTCACGGTGGTCCCTGCCAGCAGGAAGGCCTTCAGTGGCACCAGGTCCCTGAGCACGTGCTGCATCTCATAGTTGCATGGGATGACCTCAGCCCAGGGCTTGTGGGTGGTGTTGAAGAGGACGGTCCTTGGGGAAGGAGAGATGAAGATGTGGGTGTTGTCACCCAGGGGCTGTGGCCGGGAACCCGGGACAGGACTGTGAGGGGACATCCAAGGAGACCACGAGCATCAAAGCCCACAGAGTGAGGCAGGGCACCTGGCTGCCACCAGGCAGGGTGAAAGGACCAGAAGGCCAGAAAGGAATGTGGACGCAGAGGAGACAGCAAAAGGAAAAAAAAGGCACGTGGGGCCCTCCTTCAGGGGCAAGACCACCCTGAACAACTGATAGAAACCATTCGAAACGTACCAAGAGTTATTTGTTAAAAATTCAGCAAAGGGCTGAGCATGGTGGCTCTCGCCTCTAATCCTAGCACTTTGGGAAGCCGAGATGGGAGGATTGCTTGAACCCAGGAGTTCAAAAACAGCCTGGGCAACATGTCGAGCCCTCATTTCTACCAAAAATACAAATATTAGCTGGGCGAGGTGGCACATGCCTACAGTCCCAGCTACTCTGGGGGCTGAGGTGGGAGGATTGCTTGAGCCCGGGAAGTCAAGGCTGCAGTAAGCCATGTTCATGCCACTGCACTCAAGCCTCGGTGACAAAGTGAGACCCTGCTGCAGGAGAAAAAAAAGAAGCAGAAACAAATCTAGCCTAGCCCCAGGCTAGAACACAGACGCCTGACTGGCATTGCCTTAGTCTCAGAACACCATGTCAACCCTGAAGTAGCATCCCACTCTGGAAGGGATTTAACATAAAGTGTTCTACCAGTTGGATCACAGCCTGAAGGAGAATTAATAATATACTCCAACAAATTTAAAGTATGTCCAAGTTAAATGTTAATACAAACCTCCTCACTTATTTTTTTTTTTTTTTGAGACGGAGTTTCGCTCTTGTTACCCAGGCTGGAGTGCAATGGTGCGATCTTGGCTCACCGCAACCTCCGCCTCCTGGGTTCAGGCAATTCTCCTGCCTCAGCCTCCTGAGTAGCTGGGATTACAGGCACGCACCACCATGCCCAGCTAATTTTTTGTATTTTTAGTAGAGATGGGGTTTCACCATGTTGACCAGGATGGTCTCGATCTCTTGACCTCGTGATCCACCCGCCTCGGCCTCCCAAAGTGCTGGGATTACAGGCTTGAGCCACCGCGCCCGGCCCCTCTTCACTTATTCCATCACTGGGGATGGAGAACATTTTCCCTCAAAGATAAGTAGAGACCAAGTTGCAGACTGAAATATCACAGCAGGTAAGCCCAGTAAATTAACGAAGTCAGCCCAGACACTCTGGAGGCTGAGGCAGGAGAATCACTTGAATCCAGAAAGCAGAGGTTACAGTGAGCCAAGATCCCACCACTGCACTCCAGTCTGGGTGACAGAGCAAGACTCCCTCTCAATGAAACAAAGCAAAACAAAACAAAACAAATGTTCTGAGGTAGTGGGGGAAAAAAAACCCACCAAAACTGTCAACCAATAATTCTATACCCAGCAAAACTATCTTTCAAAATTGCTTTTGAAATAAGGACATATCAAGAGAAACAAAAAACTGACTTTGTTGCCAATAGATTTGTCTTACACAAAACATGAAAAGAAGAAATTCAATACATGAATACATTAACTTCCTGAAGGAAGTTCTTCAGGCTGAAAGGAAGTAACACCAGAGGGTAATTCAAATTCACATGAAAAAAGGAAGAACACCAATAAAGGTATTCATGTAGGCAAACAAAAAAGACAGTATAGTTATATATTTCTTTTTTTTTTTTTTTTTCTTTTTTTTTAGGACAGAGTCTTACTCTGTCACCAGGCACCAGGCTGGAGTGCAGTGGCGCAAGCTAGGCTCATTGCAACCTCTGCCTCCCAGGTTCAAGCAATTCTCCTGCCTCAGCCTCCTGAGTAGCTGGGACTACAGGCGTGCACCACCACACCCAGCTGATTGTTGTATTTTTTTAGTAGAGAAGGGGTTTCACCATGTTGACCAGGATGGTCTCAATCTCTTGACCTCATGATCCACCCACCTCGGCCTCCCAAAGTGCTGGGATTACAGGCGTGAGCCACCGCGCCCGGCCGGTTATATATTTCTTGTCCTTGATTCTAATTAGAATAAAATGCAATAGCATAAGACAACATCTATAAAATTGCAGTTTGGGCTATGGCATGTAGAAATGTAATATATGTGACCATAACAACATGAAGGAAATGGGGGTGAGAATGAAGCATACTGGAGTAAGAAAATGACACCATGCCCAGACATAGTGGCCCACACCTGTAATTGCAGCACTTTGGGAGGCCAAGGCAGTAGGATTGCTTGAGGTCAGGAGTTCACGACCAGCCTGGTCAACATAGTGAGACCCCACCACAAGAAACAGATAAAGGAACAAAGAGGTGGAAAAAAAGAAGGGAAAGGGAGGTGAGGGGAGGGGAGGGGACGGGAGGGGAGGAAGGGGAAACCAGATAGTAAATCAATGAGGGAGGGAATGAAACCAGATAGTAGATCGACTTTTTTTTTTTTTTTTTTTTTTTTTTTTTACAAGAGTTTCACTTTTATTGCTCAGGCTGGAATGCAATGGTGCAATCTTGGCTCACTGCAACTTCTGCCTCCTGGGTTCAAGCAATTCTCCTGCCTTGGCCTCTCAATTAGCTGGGATTACAGATGTGTGTCACCACTCCTGGCTAATCTTTTGTATTTAGTATATTAAGTAGAGACAGGGTTCCACCATGTTGGGCAGGCTGGACTCGAACTCCTGACCTCAAGTCATCCATGCGTCTCGGCTTCCTAAAGTGCTGGGATTATAGGCGTGAGCCACAACAGTAAATCAATTCTAAAGGAAGATATGAAAGGAACCATAAATGGTAACTAAGATGATTAACAAGCTTAAAAAAAACCCACAAAAACAAAAAAAACACTTTGGCCAGGGGCGGTGGCTCACACCTGTAATCCTAACACTTTGCCAGGCTGAAGCAGATGGATCACGAGGTCAGGAGTTTGAGACCAGCCTGGCCAACATGGTAAAACCCTGTCTCTACTAAAAATACAAAAATTAGCCTGGCATGGTGGCAGGCACCTGTAATCGAGCTACTGGGGAGGCTGAGGCAGGAGAATCACTTGAACCCAGGAGGCAGAGGTCGCAGTAAGCGGAGATCATGCCACTGCACTCCAGCCTGGGTGACAGAGCAAGACTCTGTCTCAAAAAAAAAAAAAACTTTATAAATATATTTGTGTTCTCCTTTCTTCTCTGCAAGACATTGATTATATAAGTCAATAATTATAACAATGTATTGTTGAGTCTGGTCTGTAACATATTAATATGTTTATAATAATAAAATATTTATGAAAATTACTATAATCTTCATAACAAAAGTAGCACAAAAAAGAGGGAATGGAGCTAGATTGGACTTGATACGCCAGAATACATCTTAGATGGATTAAAATGTTAAACCAAAAAAGGTTTTCCCACCCAAGGGCTGAAATGAAAAGGGCTGTTAATTTATCATCTCTCAATCAACTCAAGAAATTCAGGCCAGGTGCAGTGGCTCACACCAGTAATCCCAGCACTTTGGGAGGCCGAGGCAGGCAGATCGCTTGGGACGAGGAGTTTGAGACCAGCCTGGCCAACATGGCGAAACCCTGTCTCTACTAAAAATACAAAATTAGCCAGGCATGCCTGTAGTCCCAGCTACAGGCTGAGGCATGAGAACTGCTTGAACCTGGGAGGTGGAGGTTGTATTAAGCCAAAGTCACACCACTGACCTCCAGCCTGGGTGACAGAGTGAGACTCTGTACCCTCAAAAAAGAAATTTAATTACTCCAAAAATCTTGGCTGGTCAGGGAAGTGGGACCCAGTTGTACTTTGAGTAGGCGGTTAGAGTAGAAGGATTTAGCGTTCAACCCTCCTGGAAAGAGGGCTGAATCCAAATGCCCCCTGCACAGCTAACAGCCTAGTGGGGCCTTAACCCTTCCTGGGGGTGGGGGATCCGGGAGTGACTCAGCCTCAGGACTGTTTTTTTTTTTTTTTTTCCAGATGGAGTCTCACTCTGTTGCCAGGCTGGAGTGTAGTGGCATAATCTCAGCTCACTGCAACCTCCGCCTCCTGGGTTCAAGCAATTCTCCTGCCTCAGCCTCCCTAGTGGCCGGGACTACAGGTGTGCACCACCATACCCAGCTAATTTTTATATTTTTAGTAGAGACGGGGTTTCACCATGTTGGCCAGGATGGTCTTGATCTCTTGACCTCATGATCTGCCTGCCTTGGACTTTCAAAGTGCTGGGATTACAGGTGTGAGCCACTGCACCTAGCCCACCTCAGGACTTTTAAGCGGAGGCCACGGTGTGGTCTAGGCTATGACCCTACTGCCCTGACCACTTGCCCTGGTTCAGGTTTCCATCCTTACCCTGGGGATGGGCAGAGCCGGGGATCTATACGTGGCCGCAACTTGGCCAGCTCTTCTGCAGAGGCCCTCGGCGTCGGCAAGACGGTCGAAAGGACTGAGATGACGGACACTTCCGACTCTCCCCACTCCTCCACCTCAGACTCCAGAGACCCTTCCACCTCTTCAGTGACCTCTTCAACATCTTCGATGACATTTTCAATGACCTCTTCAGGAGATTCCTCAACTAATAATTCTAAGCTGGGAGAGGGCTTGACGATCTGCAGGAAGACAGAAACTTGTCCAAGGCTGCTGTCTCCAAGACGTGCTCAGCTGATGCCCGGGGCGTGTCTGTTACACAGCTCCTGACATCTAGATGAAGTTCACGTGTGAGCAGACGAACATGCTAGGAGGCAGGAAGGCTCTGAGAAACCCAGTCTTGTCTCTTCTTTTTTTTTTTTTTTTTTTTT